GCAGGCGTGGCTCAGCGGTTGAGCATCGACCTATGAACAGGAGGTCACGGTTCGATTCCTGGTCAGGGCACGAGCCCAGGTTGTTGGCTCCATCCCCAGTGTGGGGCGTACAGGAGGCAGCCGATCCATGATTCTCTCTCATCATGGATGTTTCTCTCTCCCTCTCCGAATTAAAAAAACGGACAGCCCAGCCCAGCTGGGTGCTGCCCCCCGCACCAGGCCTAAGTTTCCCCATCTGTGAAGCGAGGAGGCAGGTGAGGCGGTATCGGTGGCTCCGCTGCTCTGACAGCTGCTTCTGCAGGGAGGGGAAATGAGCCCCGAGTCTAGGAGGCGTCAGACCCCACCTCAGCTGCCCCCAAAGGACCGTGACCATTCCCCCCCACAAACATGAACCCCGCACTCACTCCTGCCAGGAGCGCGCCCGGGCAGACTCCCGCAGGCGCCGGAGGATGACTGAATCGACGGGGCTGCCCTGCGAGGCTGTCCAGGTTGCTCGCTGCACAAAGGCGCCCTTCCCCCAACAGCACGTGTGCACCCCATGAGCACAGAGCCGTCCACACTGGGAGCCCCTGGGGGTGGCCGGCACCTCCCGTGCCCAGGCCGGGCTCACCTTCGCCTTGCGCAGCAGCTGCTGGAACTCGGGCTGCGGCAAGAGGCCGTGGTTCTTGACGAAGGCGGGGACCTCGGGGGGCCGCTGGCTCTCGTAGAACACGGTGCCGTGGACCTCCATGTGCTCGCTCAGGATGCTCAGGACCTTCTCCTTCCCCTGGGGGACGAGGGGGAGGTGGGAGCCCCGCCCTGCCCCCGGGAGAGGGGGCAGCAGGAGGGAGAGCCCTGGTCTGGAAGCCGGAGGTGTGGGCCAGTCTTAGGTCGGCGACCGCTCACCAGCTGTGTGGCCCGGGCACAGCCCCCCTCCTCTCTGCCCCTCAACCATCTGAGTCACTGTTCGCTGAACCTAATCCCAACCACTACAGTGTGAGGGTCATTCCACAAAACAACCACGTGATACGCAGGAGGAGGAGGGGCGGGAGGAGGAGGGAGCACGCAGCGTACAGTCCTACCTGGAGCTGCCTCATGGCCAGGGGGGCAGAGAAAAGAGGAGAGAGAGCAGGTCAGTGACGGGCGAGCAGGCAGCCTCCCCACCGGCAGCGCTTCTCCGGGACCCTGCCCTGAAAGTGGGGTTCCAATCCCTGGACCTCTCCCACCTTCTCCACGGCCTCCCCGTCCCACAGAACCCCCGAGTCTCGCCTAAGCCCCCTTCGCCATCCCAGGGAGGGGGGAGGGTGAAGTCACAGACCTCGGTCTGAGTTTGGGGCAGAGCAGGGACGGGGAGGGGGGCAAGGGACCAGCCCCAGCCAGGCTTTCCCCATGGCCGGCCGTCGGGCAGGTGAAAAGGGGAGAACCTTCCAGATGCTGGCCTCTTTGCCGTACACCACGGCCATGTTGCTGGCCTTGCCGGCCTTGATGAGCTGCTTCTCCGTCTCGTTCAGCTCCTCGGACACGAAGCCCATGAAGGAGTTGTCGGGGGTGTGAGCTGCAGCCAGAGCACGGCCAGGAGGGCGTCACCAGACGGCCAGGGACACGCCAGGGTCTCCCAGGGCCGCCCCATGTGGCAGGGATGGGAGGGGCTGGGGGTGAAAGGTCTTGTGGGGAGAGGGAGGAGGTCACCCATCCGCTGTCACACCTGCCATCGCCTGCCCCGCTGTCCCTCTGCCTGGGGTGCCCGCCTCCCCTTTCTGGGGTGAGGAATCCTACTCAGCCTTCAGGGCCGCACTCCCAGGAGCCTTCGTGGGGCCCTCCCTTCGAGGCCCGCCCACTGGTCAGGTCTGTTAGAGCGAGGAGCGTGCTCTGACTTCCTTGTCCCCAAGCCCAGGGCCCAGAGCCCAGAACCCAGAGCCCAGAGCCCAGGGCCCAGAGCCCAGAGCCCAGAGCCCAGGGCAGGCGACATGCTTGAGCTCCCGCCGCAATTCCTCACCGCTGGAGCGCGTCCCTGACTGTGTCTGCGGCCAAGGGTGGCCATGTAGATACAGCACCATCGTCCGCAAGGGCACAGGCCCCTCCCTCCCTCGCAGGGGACCTTGAGTGGAACAGCTACGGAGCCCGTGAAATCCATGCTGCCCTCCAGGGCGAGGCTGTGGCCTCCCCACAACCCTGACGCCAAACACCCCATGTCGTAGGTTCAGATGCATGTTGGCACATGCTGGCCTTTCATCAAACGTGTAGATTGAATGTCGTGTTTCTAACCTCACCCCCGGCCCCACAAAAAGCCGTAATCAGTATCTGGTGCATCTGAGAGGAGGGGATGGTTTGCTGTCGAAGGGCCCAGAAAGCCCACGGAACCTGGGCTGACGCTCCGACCACTGTCCGGTGGGGCGCTTGCTGGTTACAGAACAACACAGCTCCTCCCGGAGCGTCAGCCGCTAGGAGGTGGGGCCTGGAGTCATTTCTGTGATGTCTCAGGAGGCTCTGCCCAGTCAGGGAGCGGCCCCAGGAGGGTGGACCAGACCCTCCTCGGCCCCATTGGCCTGCCCAACCCCAGCCTCTCTCCCTCCCCTCGGGCTCCAGCCGGGGCTGCCACCCAGGCCTCTCCCTGATCCACTCCTCCCTATTCTCAATCCCTCATTCCGCCCCCTCCCCCAGGAGGGGCAGGCTTAGGACCCCCTGGGCAAACCAAGTGGGCATGGGACAGGAAGTACTGCAACCAATTAAAATAACAGGGAGCTGTGGGGCGGGGCGGGGTGAGGCCAGGGCAAGGGGCA